GCAGGGTTGTGGCCACATACAAAGAAATTATTTTAATAGCTGTGAAACAGATCTCTGAAAGAGTGGCCCAATCCACCACGTGTTATTTAGAAGTAATAAATAACTGTGCCTTCCAGACACACAAATAATAAAATCCACTGGAACAATGACATTGGCTGGACCTTGGCAATTAAAGACATGTCTGGCATTTGTAAACAAGCTTCTATCTTTACCAAAATGTTTTTATACTGACGAGAATAAAGCAATTATTAATATTTGTCGGAAAAGGCCCTTGGGGAAGAAATCCCCCTGATTTTTCCTATCATAAATTAATCCTTCCATCCCAATGGTAACACTATTCTATTTATAAATAAAATAAATTCTATTCATTTCCTTTCAAGCCACCCAGCTCATTGGGATGAGAGTTTAGCCAGCTTTTTTGCTTGCATTTAACAGTCATTTAACAGATAATCAGAGTTGGAAGGGACCTTGTAGGTCATCTAGTCCAACCTAGACAGACCCACATATCCTTGATCCTAAATTAAGCTGCTGCTTTCCCCCACCCCCTTTTCTTACCCGCCAGGAAGCCCCATGGCATCGGGCTGAATGTATTTCCAAGGGAACGCCTTGCAAAAAAAAAAAGCCAGGGATCACTCAACAGGTGAAGCTGGATTTCTTGCCTGTCATGCCAGCAAGGAGGCGGCTGGTGAAAGGACCAAGAAAGGAGGGCCTGGGTGGATGGTAATCAGAAGCCAAAGCAATTGCACTGATCTGATCGTGGGGAAAGGGAAAAATAAATAAATGGCTAAATATAAAAAGGCAGGAAATGCAAGACCAGCTGGCTTAGCCACGCCCAGAAACAGGAGGGGAGGGGCACAGCTAAGGAGCGGCCACGCCCCCTTCCTTGGATCCACGCCCAGGGCTTGAGTGGGAAGGGAAGAGCCGAGCCCCGCCCACTTGGCTAAGTTAGTCCCTTCTCGCGGCCCGTACTTACCGCCTCTGCTCATCCGTGACACAAAAGAGTCGTTTCAGAGCCCACCCGCCTTCGTTTTTCTTTTCTCCGCTCCCTCCATGCGGCTTATCCCGGGGGAACCGCCGCGTCGCTCCCGGGTCCGCGCCCTTCTGAGAAACGGCTCCTTCAAATCAAAAAGGCTTCGCTTCTTCTTCGCCGGGCAGCGGTGCCCTTAGCAGCCATGGCGGCGCAGAGACGCAAAGTCTCGCGAGAAGTCGGGCGGACGCTGCTTTCCGGACGGAGGAGTCGCGTTTCACCCCTCTTCCAACGTGGTCGAGACGGCCGTTGGGTCAATCTCGCGAGATCTTGTGTGGCTTATATATCTCGCGGCCGCGGCCATCCGAGGCCTTTTTAATTTTCGTTGCGCAGCGGTTTGGTCGTTTTGTTGAATCCGGCGCCATCTGAGTCGGACGTTGGCCGGACGTTACCGGAGCCACCATGCCGCCCAAGTTCGACCCCAACGAGATCAAAGTCGGTGGGTATGGAGCCTGCCTGGTTCTTCTTTTAGGCGGCATTTGGAACCGTTTCCTCCCTTAGAGTTTCCTGCAGGTCGTGTGAAAGCGCTTCCTTGCGTGTCTATCCTGTATATTTCTGTTATTCAGTATTTTGCCTGATTTTTCAGTGCTTCCTATTGTCTTGACCCCTTTCCTATTGAACCCAATTATCCCTCGCTTAATGGGGGGGGGGGGGGTTAGTTAAGCATTTCGTTTTGCAGAAATTAACGATGAAAAAAAAAATGAGAAGAGAGGCGGATAAATGTAATAAATAAAAGGGATTTACAGGGTCGTGAAAAGGGAGTTTTAATAAGATCATTAATTCTGCCATACACTGCATCGTTTTTATTTCCCCCATTTTCTAGCTTTGCACATATTTAATTGCTCAGTTGAACTGCTTACAGATTAACAGAGTTGGAAGGGACCTTGTGGGTCATCTAGTCCAACCCCCCCGCCCAAGCAGGAGACCCTATACCATTTCTGACAGTCCAATCTCTTCTTGAAAGCCTCTGAATTGTAAAATAACTTAATCACGTGGGAAAGGCAGCCTGCTTTTGCCAAGAAAACCTGCCTGGCGATCTCCGTGCAATTGTGATAAACCTCAGGAGTGTTTAGGATTCATTTTAATAGTTGTCATTATTATATTGTCTTTATTTTTTCTTGCAGTGTTCCTGAGATGCACCGGAGGTGAAGTGGGGGCTACTTCTGCCCTGGCTCCCAAAATTGGACCTTTGGGTTTGGTATGCCTTGATTTTACAATTTTCTTGAATTTGAGTTTTCTTCTCTGGGAATTTTAACCTGAATTCAGCATTTTTTTTTAAAGCTAGCAAAAAGTGGCCCGTTTTTTGGCTTGACTTTGAAGAATTAGCAGCCTTAGGAGGCTTGCAAATGATTTTAGGAGCTGCTAACAATCAATTTCCCGTGTTGATTAGCCTATTATGGGTGTATTTATCCCCCTGCAAAAATAGTGGGGTGGAAAATTTATAATTAGTCTGATTCTCAAGTCTACAAAATTGTCTTTGCTCAACCTTGGGTGTTGGCCATTAGAATCACACCTAGGCTTGTGATGAATTCATGTCCTCTGGACTAATTAGTTTACTTTATTGTCATGGCACCTTGTACAATGAAATTAAATATTTGGCCCCGTTGACTTGTGGAGGCTAAATTTAAGTGACTGGGTTACCGGTTCGATTAGTCAAACGTGTGTCCCATTTCAGGGCCAGAATCTATGGCCAATACCGAAACAAGTGTGGTATGAAAAACTATACATAAAAATTCTGCTTCTGCCTTTTTCAGTCCCCAAAGAAGGTGGGCGATGACATTGCCAAGGCCACCGGTGACTGGAAAGGACTGAGGATCACCGTGAAGCTGACGATTCAGAACAGGCAAGCGCAGGTACAGGCAACGCCACAAGGGATGGCTCTGGTTAAAATGTGCCAAGTCTCAAAAGGATTGGCCGAGCTGCTGCCATGAGCTGTAATCCCGGCAGGGTTGACTCAGCCTATCATCCTTCCGAGGTCGATAAAATGAGTACCACTCCAATTTGTTCTGTGGGAGGTCGCTTAAGATCGGACCTTGAGTAGAATACAAGCCCTTTGGGGAATCCTGGGCTGTTCTGACCCAAATCAAATCAATCATATATATAAAAGCAAACCTTTTTAATGTGTTTCTGTGAATTCTGTTAGTTCACAGCAAAGAGTCATTAAAACTAATTGTCCCAGATAAGAGGAAGCCCTTTCAAGGTTGCGAAAGGCTGCCAAGAACACAAGAGTAATTGCACAGAAATATCCAAAGCCAGAAGTTTCAAAAAACAAACCGGAGTAAGTAGGGCTTCAATGAGGACTATGAGTAGAAAGAACTTCTTTGCTTCCTGCAAAGAAGCCAACCCCAAAGGCTGGCTTTTATCCCTTCAAGGAGGGGGCCATCACCTTGCAGCCTTACTCCTGAGTTGCCTGTGCTGCTTCAGCTGCTCTTTCCTTCGAGCAGCCCTGTGGGCGTGGGCACCTCTTCATCACGGCTCATAAAACATTTCTATGCCTGTTTTAGAGTTGCCATGAACAGGGGAGGAGGAGAATTCGAAGGAGCAATGCGGGCAGTTTAAAACCAAAAGTGCATTCCATTCTTATCTTGCAAAGATTGTAACTAAGCTACCGGAATTGGAGAATGTGATTGATGCCTCTCAGCTATGAACTTTTCGTTGGAGAATATGACTTGCGATACACCCAGTGGGATGGAGAGGTGGGAAACAGGGTCATAGGTGATAGTAATTATGTGTGGGCCATGCTCCTAATAAATCCTTTGAAGTTTTTGAGGCTTGGCTCGTGCCTCATGGTTTAATTAGGGCGACTGCCGGAATCCTGACAGCAAGCTGATTCCGAAACGTGATTACATGCAGAGCAAAAACAAGTTGAGTGCAGGTATAGAATTTAAGGTTTACACACACACACACGGCTTATTGTTACAGCATCCTTGTAACAGGCCTGTCATCTTACTGTCACCTTGTGAATGGGTTCAGGCATTTCACAAGTGTGCCAAGTCAGAGGCTCGGCATACCAAGATTGGGACACCTACACGTTTTGTTGAGTAAATCACACTGGGTTGAGTTCACCCGACATCTGAGCCAACTTGGGATTGCATTGTGGTTTGGTTAAAGGGACAACTTTGTGAGTCTATAATGGGGTGGATTGGACTGTTTAGAGCCAAAAGCTGATCTCCTTCTGACCTCACAGTTTGGCTGTTTGCCCCCTGTAGATTGAGGTGGTCCCATCAGCCTCTGCCCTGATCATCAAAGCGCTGAAGGAGCCGCCTCGCGATCGCAAGAAGCAGAAGAACAGTGAGTGCCTCCTTGGTTTTCTTTAAGAAAAATGTACATTTCCTGATCTTCATTGACTGCTCAGCTGCAGACACCGCCCAACTTGGGGAAAGACACAAGGGTAGCCTTGTAACGATGGGATGAAATCAGCCAAGTAGGTGTATAGTCAGGTTGGGATGCAAGCTAATTTGGAAATCCGCCGTTTGAAATTAACTTTTCATGGCTGTCGGCTCCAGTAATACAGGAAATCTTCGCCTTAAAGCAGTCCCTTTAGTGACAGTCCAGCGTTACGACGGTACCGAAAAAAGTGACTTAACCAACAGCTTTGCAGCATCCCCGATGGTCGCGTGATCAAAATTCAGGCGCTTGGCAACTGACTCATTTAGATGACGGTTGCAGTTTCCCGGGGGGGGGTCACGCGATCCACTTTTGCAACAAGTACAAATCCACTGGGGAAGCCAGATTCCCTTAATGACCGTGTTGCCAATTTAACAGCGGCAGTGATTCCTTTCACAACCATGACCGAAAAGGTCGTAAAACGGGGCAAAGCCCAACTGTCCTTGCTTTAGCCACAGAAACGATTGCCGAGTCGTAAGGCGAAGACTACCTGCGTTCACAGGCCTTTTAATTGTGCCCAGGTTTTTCGGGGGGTGGGGGGGGGGGGGGGGGGAGGACACAGCAGCGATGTTCTTCACGCCAGCCACCCGCCACTGCGCTTGCCTATTTTCAAGCATGGCTTGTGCATTCCAGTGGTGAGCTGAGAGGAAAAAAACCCTTTCATGGAAACAGAGCTATTCTCTCCGTGGGTAACTCTGTGCCGAAGACTGGGAACAGAAGCAGAACGGCGGAGCGTGCAAAAGTTTTCTGAGCTACGCGATTGACTCTTCTGGCACAAAAAAAAACTTTGTTGTGTTTTTTCCCCCCCTAACAGTTAAGCACAGCGGAAGTGTCAGCTTCGATGAGATCGTCAACATTGCCCGGCAGATGAGGCATCGATCCTTGGCCCGGGAACTCTCCGGTAAGATGGGATCACTTCTTCAACGAAGATGAAGAGTTTTGTTCTCAGCAGCTGACAATTAGGAATGTAGAGTAGGCTAGAGCAAGAAGGGATCCTGGAGGTCTTCCAGTCCAGTCTCCTCTTAGAAACCTCCAGTGACGGAGCCCCCATAACTTCTGGAAGGAAGCCGTTCCTCTGGTTAATGGTTCCCTACTTATTAGAAGTAGAGCCAGTCTACTTCTCGACAAGTGGCCAATACCCCAGAATCCAAGCTGGACTTAAAAGTCGTCTTAGGTTGAAGAATCCAGGTCCTAAAAAGGAATGTGTGTTGAAAGGGCAGGCTTGTAGCTCAAAAGAAGAGGACAATAAAGAGAAATATCTCTGTATGATACTTCAGTTTGGTAAAATTAACCGGCAGCCGACTTTTAAATTGAAATTTTAATAGACCTATAAGCTAGATTTGGACTTTCTCCTTCTCTGCCCCTTGGGTTCAACCTCAACTTTTCATTGGGGTGCCTTGAAAAAAGGGCTTGGCCCTCTCCCGAAGGAGCCACAGTTGATTTCCAAACAAGATTATAATAAACCCCCCGTATTCGATGGATGACTGGGAGATGCGAGGAATTATGAATTTAGATCCTGATCAGAGAAGCAGGATTCTTGTGCACTTAGATCTACAGTGACTTTTGAAGGCCATTGGCCATTCTACATTTTGGGGTAGGGAAGTCAGCTTGCACCCGCAGCAGGTGGACACTTAATGTGAATTCAGACATTCTTGGTTCTTGCAGGAACCATTAAGGAGATCCTGGGAACTGCTCAGTCGGTTGGCTGCAGTGTGGATGGGAGACACCCCCATGATATCATTGATGACATCAATAGTGGGGCAATTGAATGCCCAGCGGTGAGTATTTGCCTTTTAAAAACAGATGCTAATTTAATCCGCAGCCTTTGGGGGGTTGTGATTAATATCCTGGCCTTTCCCCCCACCTCTTAGGATGGTTGTTGTGGAAGAAATTGGAGGAGGGAAGAATATGATGTATTTTTGCTGCTTTGAGTTGCCTATAAAAAATAATGGGATAAAAATAAATCCAAGTATTAACACCTGGCCAATAAAACTGACAGGGTGATTCAGTTCCCTGGTCCAGGGTTGTTGCAGGAGAAAGTCAATCTGTAACTAATCTGCCTTTTTATTTTATTTTCCTTCTCCAACAGAGCTAATAAGTCTGCTACCTGAACTATCCTTCTGTAACAAACGTAGTTTGGCTGCCGCCATGAAAGATAGAATCCTATTATCTTCACCAACTCTCCAGTTTGGCTTCTTCGGGCGTGATTCCATCACAGCCCCTTAGAATGTTGAAAATGTTGTGTACGCATTTCAAAAATAATAAAACTTGTACCAGGTTAACTGCAGCTCTTTCTCAATTCTTATTTTAAAACCAATTACACCAGATTTGCCTCTCTGGCCGTTCAAAGTTATGGTAGCACTAGAAAAAAGGGACTTATGATGGTTTTTCACACTTAACAACCATTGCAACATCTCTAGTCAGATGATTAAAATTTGGTGCTTAGCACCTAACTCACAACAATTGCATCATGTGATCCTCTTTTGACAAGAAGTGGGGAAGCCACATTCACTGACAACTGGGCTACTAACTTAATTGCAGTGATTCACTTAACAGCTGTGGCAAGAAAGGTCATTAAATAGGGCAAAATTCACTTTTAACAAATTTATCCTCAGGATAAATTTTGGGTGCAATTGTTGTAAATTGAGGACTGTATGAATACAGAAATGTTGTCGGATTTAATTTTTAACTCTTCTCAAAATTTGTTCAGCTGAGTTTTACAGCCAAAGGTTTTATTTTTCAGTATGTAGCTAAAAAAAAAAATAGCCAAAAGTCATTGTTCCTATTTTCTAGCGGCAACACCACCTACACACTGTACAAATGTGATGTAGTTACAATGCTTGTGTACAAACAAAAAGGCTTTGCTTCTCCATTGACCTGGATTTTCTTTTTAATGGGCTACTGGGTTTTGTCCTTGTAGTTTTCTCTCCTCCCTTACTAATATAACCCAGCCTGATGCCCAGAAGGCTTATAAACAGGAGATAGTGTCTTTTTTAAACATTTTTTTTTGCAAGCATGTATTAACCGCAAGCAAGCAGCCCACAGATGTTACAAGGAGCAGAAATGGAGCCAGAACGAGCCCAGACTAATTTTGTTGTCGCTAGCTTCACAACGTCGAAAAGGGGCCTGTTTCGTGCTTCTTGGGTCGTCTCACACCTTGGATGTAGAAGCTTGGGCACCTGGGCAGACGAGCGTTGTACCCTTTGTCTACGTTGTAAGCCCCTGGGCCTGGAGTCTCCACTGCAAAGAAAAAAGATGGCGGCCGGAAATCATTTGGTGTCTCCTGGCATATATCTGGATTTCGCTAAGAAGAATGAAAATCGTACCCCAAGGTTAGAAGGGACCACAGTCTGGAGCTGTGAGGATCGTAGTTTTATTTAAGGCTTGCTTCAAACCCCTCTGCCATACTGTTTTTATGACGTTCCCCTTGGGGAAACTAGTTTTTTCAGAAAAGGTTAACTGCATACAATTTGAAGGAATGGATTTCTGATCCTCTTATCAAGTTTTTTTTTTATTTTTGAAAAGGCAACTGGACTGATTTTTGGAGGAAGAAGTTTTCGCTTCCTACCGGTATCCTGCAAGCTTCATCCATTGGATGGTGTGGGAGAAAGAAGGACAGTTATTGATGGTGGAGATTAATTGGTGGTGGGGATTGATAGGTTCTGTCAGGAGCAGGGGGGCGGGGGAATGAAAATATTGTGTTTTCTTTGCAGTCAATTAGTCTTAAACACACTGAGAACCATGGTGGCTATTTGGGGTTTTACCTGTGACCTCAAGGTCACCTGAATCAGGTGTGTGAAATCTTGGAACAGCCAAAAGGAGTATATTATAAATTGGGGGTAGGTGGTGTCTATCGCTCTTCCTTTGTTGAGAGGACAGGAAGGAAAACCTTGTTTTTCTTCAAAAAAAACAAAACAGTTTCTTTTTCAAAGTGAAAACCACTTTTGATACAACTGGATGACTTAAGACTCTATAAAAGACATCCTGATTCTCTTGAGGTTCCTCACCTTTTTCAATCCACCTGTACAGAGCGAGAGGGGCAGGGTTGATGATTATGGACGGTGAACGGTGGAGCACAAATGTGTAGGCGCGGTCAATGTTATATCGATTGGGTCCTGGTTCATCGATGGTGCCTGCAAGAGAAAATGGTGGTGATCCTTACAAAGAATATTTGTAGCTCAGGGTTGAACCTTTGTGTTCTCCAAGCTTGCAAGGTGTTTCATTGCCCACTGTCCGAGGGAAAGAAAATGACTTGCATTCGAGCACACACAAATATTTACTTTTGGGATGTTCGACAACCTGGGACTCCCTAACCCATCTCCCAAATCCAAAACAAGACTGCCCCTGCTTAGCTCCAAGGTCAGCCAAAGGGCCGTTGAGTTGTTTTCCAGATGTTCCTCAACCTCCTCTGGTTCGTTGGTGGCTTACCAAGAACAAGAAGGCCTTCCTGTCCCCGGAGAAGGTATGTTGGGACCACCTCACCTTTGTTAATCAAAGCGTATTCTCCTCTCTGGCCGAAGGTGAAGTTTGGAGTGTTTGACCGGTTGCCAAGATTGGTTCCCAAGAGTTGACCATATTGGGAAGGAGAAGGCCACTGGGGGGAGGAAATAAAAAAAGAGAGAGAGGAACTGGAGCAGATCCACTGAACTGCAGGTTTATTGATGTCTGCCCATGGTGGACCTCTAGGCATCACATCTGAAGGAGCCTCCAGGAGATCCTGCATTGTGAGCGACAACGTACGTTGGTTTCGGTGCTGAAATCCACTTTCCTCCAGAAGGGGTTTCTGCTCATGAACCAAGACTTTTGCCACGCACGACGGCCTCCGCCTTCTAGTAGAAAAATAACACAGTCACGATGCGGGTCTTAAAAAATCTCAAATTTTCAAAAATCTCCCTTGAGATTTCTCCTAATTCAATCTCGCCCTTGATTGACAGGAAGAGACTAATCAGGTGACATGTTGGAACAGCTGTTTGAACGTTTTACCTCTTGACGTTTCCTGCAAAGACCAATTTTCAGCAAAGATTCAACCTAGGTCTCTTTTTGTTACCAGGATCGTCTCTTTTTTTAAAAAAAACATTTAACAGGCCAATTTAATACTTTCCTCGAATTACGACCCTAACAACTCAAAATTTCCATTGCTAAGTGAGACAATTCTTAAAAGAGAGCTTGGCTCTATTTTGCAGCATTAGAAGATACGTTCATACCTATACAGAAGAATCTGGTCAACTCTTAAAAGTTCCAACGCTAAATTTGCACCCAGGTAAGGGTCACCAGAATTCAAGAGGAGCTGGACTATTTGTGGCAACTGTAAGGATTCTAGGCTGATAACGCGTTTAACTCCGCCCCCATCTCTGCTTGCTCTTCTCCCACAACCTAATGTTGAACCTCTCGCCGAATGAGAGGGGCGACAGAGAAAGAATACAGTTTGAAATTGCAAACTCTACCTTTTCTCCTTCCTCAGACAGACCTTCATCTTAAGGCAGGTGGTTCTTTACCTGCCAGATGGGCTTAGCAATGGCTCCAAGGTCAACGCTCTAGTGCGTGGTCCCTGCGTCCCTTCCCCAATACCTCGAGGAGGGGTCTTCCACCCAAACGTATAGGACGGGGCGATGGTTTCTCTGTAGGCCATGGGGGGAGGCGAGTAAGCTGCTGGACCGGGACTGTCCGTGTTCAGTACAAACTGCAACCGACCTTGGGCCTTTTCGTCTAAACAAAGAAGCAGAAAGCTAAAAAGAAGTCTTTAATTAAGGGAGGTGGCTTTCAAATCATCTTGAATTAGAAAACAGCTTCAATGTGCCTCATGGTTACTGCTCTGTGTGTGAAGTCACCAGACTGATGTGCAGTTTCTTCACTAAGGACTATCAAAAGGAACTTGGAGCATCGTCCTGAAGGATTGCACTTACTATTTTTCTTTCCACCATAAATGTCCGGGAATAAAGGAGTCCCACTCGTTTCTCTGCCTTTGTGACCCCTGGAAACAAAACACCAGAATTTACTCCATGCATTCCTCTGCAATTGGCTAATCAGATACTAGTCTTCCTCAATCCCCCCCCCCCCAAAGTTAAGATAATTACAAGGATCAGTGGGGTGAAAAATCAATGCATCACCCACAAAAACTCTGCACTTATTTTATTCTATTAACTTATACTTATTTATTTAGGTTCATTCATGTATTGGCCCCTCACCCTGGGAAGGACTTTCCCCAAAGCAAGAATGAGCAATGGTTCAGCTTTTGTTGAACCTAACTAAAATGTTCCCCCATCTATGAACAAAAATCTGAATCAAGAAGGAAACCTACTGAAGTTCTTCCTTAGTCTTCTTTGGCTTTATTGCATTAAAAAAAAAAATAATAAGCTATCCCGTACAGCATTTAGATATAAAAGTATCATAAAATATTGTAGTATCTTACTATACCATACTGAGACATGAAGTAAGACTCTCTCGTTTCCCAAAAGGCAGAAAGCTATACGGACTTGCCAAGAGTGACTTGAAAGCATAAATAAAAATTTAAAAGGATGATGGACACTCATGCTACCTACCCCTCTTACAGATCAAGTGGTTTGTGTATGGAAAACCAGCCAGTGGACCTAACCAACTCTACCAGTTTAGATGTTCCTCTCTAGAAAAATTGTAAAGGAAGTCTATCCATGATTTATTTATTCAGTTTGTACACGATGATTTTCTTTCAAGGACTTTCCAGTGTGAAGACTTAACCATCCCTTGAATAATTAATTTATGCTGATTTAATTCATGATGTAAGCTGCCCAGAGTTGTTGGATATGAGATGGGCAGCAAATAAATTTCATAAGTAAATCCTTTCAAGAAATAAATTTTTAAGGTCCTTCCTTTTGCCTTGAGTAGACTCCTCAATTTTGAGCGCGCACACACACACACACACACATATATGTAAGTGTGTTTGGCGAGAAAGAATGTACCTGCCTTTTATAAACAGATGTCCTTTGAGGTGCCTTTTTCTGGCTGCTGTCCAAGTATTTCTGAGCCATAAACTTGATATGTTTCTTCTGTGATTCCATTTCTAAGGCTCAGGGAGGCAGACTGCACCATATGGGGTCACCTGGAATTGCAGATATGTGACATCAGTGGGTTCTCTCGCATCTGAGGTTCCGTTTGGCTGGAGAGTGGCCATTGGTCACTGGTCAGTTGGCCGTGGCGAGGTGGTTTCTTTCAGGCTGGATCAGGGAGGATAGTTTGGGGGAAAGCCCCCCCCCATATAACAAGCTGTGTGGTCTATATAGCGTCTCTTATTAAATGTACACCTTGGGGTGGTTACAACCCCTAGGAAGGTGGTAAGGGCAAGTTTTCGCGGGTACTTACATGTATGGTATTCAGCTTTGTTCGGGTATTTTCCCACGTCATTGTAGTTGTGCTTTTAAAGTTGTGGCAACGTTTCGGCAGAATCTCATCTGCCATCATCAGGCTTCTGAGATGCCTGATGCCTGAAATGCAATGCAAGCTAAAATGAGATGGCTTGATTTTTGTGGGTCCAGCAAGCTTTTAGGCTTAATCTGGGATTGAATGAATCCCAGACAAGTTTGATTCCTGTGGGGAAAACCAAAGCAAGATCCTATAGGATGCACGAACCATCTTCCAAAGCTGAACACGGGTACCGTTGCACTCGTTTAGCGACCGCTCAAAGTTACAATGGCACTGAAGTCACCTTAGGACTAGTCCTCACCTTTACGACCATGGCAGCATCCCATGAAATCAACCCACCGGGCATTTGGCAAACTAGGATGTGTTTATGTCGGCTTTTAGGGTCACGTAATCATCTTTCGTGACCTTCCCAGCCGGCTTCAACATGCAAAGTCTACGGGACAGCAGGGGAGGGGAGCTGGATTCACTTAATGACCGCCTGATTCCCTGAATGACTGCAGGGATTCATTTAACAACCAGGTCCAGAAAAAAAAAGTTGGTGGCCGGCACTCCCTATAACAGCTTCCTGGCTTTGACAATGGAAATACTGCCACCCATTTTGAAGCAGGAATGTGGCGATGCCCAGAAATAAATTCAAAATTAGGTTTATTGCACATTTGCAGGCATGTGATCATATATACAGTATATAAAGCATATATAGTAGACATATTTAATAGAGACTTTTTAATAGTTCCTATCTGTGCATGCCTGCACATACACTAACACACACACACACACACGTGTGTACCTACTTAAAAGGACCACACACCCCCGGAGACGGGACGTTTCCTTTAAAAGGCGGGCCCAGCGCCGCGCGCATGCGCCGGCCGGGCCGCCGCGGGAAGTCTAACCACCCGACGAAGCAGGAGGAGGAGAAAAAAAGAAGCCGCCTGGGTGGGGCGGGAGGCGTGGCCGAGGGAGGCGGGAGGGAGGGAGAAAGAGAGTGAGACAGAGAGATAGGCAGACACCCGTGAGGTCATCAGCCGGGGCCGCCGGCAGCCGGGGGGGTCACGTGGCGAGCCGTCGCGCCGTCGCGCGGGAGGCCGGCCGGGCCCCTTCCCCTCCGGGCGTCGCGGAGCCGATGACGCGTCGGCGCGGCTCGCGCGCTGATTGGGCGGCGGGCGGCCGAAGGGGGCCGGCGGCGCGGCGGGGCGTGTGGCCCCGCCCCCTCGCCCGCCCCTCCTTCTCCTCCTCCTCCTCTCGCTCCGGGTGTGCGCGAGGCGGCGGCGGCGGCGGCGGCGCGTGGCCTCGTCGGCGTCTCCGTCCAGCGCGGCCTCCCCTCCTCCTCCTCCTCCTCTCCTCCTCCTCCTTTCTTCTCCCCTCTTTCCACCCCCTTCCCTCTTCTCTCCTCGCCCAGGCCGGGGCCATGACCGACTTCAAGCTGGGCATCGTGAGGCTCGGCCGTGTGGCGGGCAAGGTGCGGGCCTAACCCCCCCCCCCCCCCCCCCTCCCCCCCGGGCCTGAGGGCCGCCCCCCCCCGCTGGGCTCCCCCACCCAGGGCCCCCTTTGCGCGCGCGCGACGCGTCCCTGACGTCACACCGGGGGCCCTCTGTGACGTCACCGCCCACCTTGGGGGAGGGGGGTTCCTCGCCCCCCCCCCGACCTCTCTTCGGGGTGGGGCGGTTGCACTCCCTCCCCTGCTCCCCAGGAGAAGGGAAGGGAGAAGAAGGGTCTCCCTATCTAGCCAGACCTCTTGTAGGTGGGTGGGAACTCCAACTCCCATCATTCTCTTCTTGGGAGGATGGGAAGTCAGGATATGGGGAGGGGGCCACATCCTATGCCTGGCCTGGAGATGCTGCCCAAAAGGAGCTGCCTTCCTCCAGCCTTGATTTTCACATTAGAGGCTGTGGGTAGGACTCCAACTCCCATCATTCCCTCCTGGGAGGATGGGAAGTCAGGATATTATTTAGGGTGGGGGGCATCCTACGCCTGGCCTGGAGACCCTGCCCAAAAGGAGCCGCCTTCCTCCATTCCTCTAATTGTTTTCTCATTAGAGGCGCCCTTGGGTGGTTTTATATGCCCCACCCCCCCAAGGTGGGTTCCTTGGGAAAGGGTGACACCCTGGGGCCAAAATGTACGAAAGGGTTGGTCTCTGGAGGGTCTCTGGGGAAGGTTTGCATGGGGTGGGTCTTCTAGGGTTTAATTTGGGTAGTTGTGGGGGGATAAAGCTTTTGATACTGGGGAGGGGGGTTTGCTTGCTCAACTCTTCCCACCTGCATTGGGAAGAAGACTTCGCATAAGACCTGGTGCTGCATTGGATGAGTACCTAATCATCATGTGCTTCAAATGATGATGTTGTGTCTGGGATAGTCTTTATGAATTGTTGATAGTTCCCATGCAAGCATTATCTTTGTTCATTTTATTCTACTGTTTTCCTTTTGCTTTGTTTTGAAACTTCCTTTTTGGTGGTGCTGAACCTCCTCTACTAGCCCCACGCCGAGATAGCCGGCAACTTTAATCATAATATACACATCTGCCTCTCCCAGGGCCTTAGAAAGGATTCGATAAGTAGGCAAAAATGCCAAATCCAGTCTGAACATCTGGCTGAGTGTGGGACCAACCACAACAACAATGATAATGTTAAGTTTTTAACCAGTGAATTGAATATTAAATCTTAAAGAATAATAATAATAATAATAGCAGCAGCCAGGATGGCCCCAAAGATGTGCTTCGGTATATTTGATGCCGTGCTTTGTATTAAGCATAGGGAAAAGTTGTATGGAGAGGGAGGGATTAACCAACACATTTTTCATATGGCCAAGAAGCTGTGTGGTTAATCTCATCTCACAAAAGAGCTGTCTTTGGAGAGACTTTTTTCCTTGACAGCCTGTAGCTGCTGACTGAAAAAAGAAAGAAAACACTTGATAGTCTTCGTTCCCTGCACTTTTTTCTCTGCTTTTTGAAGTGGGGAGATGCCTCCATATCCTCAGAATATATGGCTGGAAATGCTGCTTCAAGAAAAAGATCTTGCTGCATCTAGCGGATTTCAATTGGTGGAGGATCTAATTGGGTAGAGACTCCCTTAAAAAAAAAGTTTCTTGCTTGAAACACATTTCTGGTGATTTGCTCACTGAAATGTTAGAAGAAGTTTTATTTATCTATTAGATTTGTGTGTGTTTTCCTTTGTCCACCACAGAGAGTGTTGTTTCAAATTGTTTAGCGTGTTGTCATCTAAATGCGAAGGCCCTGTTAATTTACGGCAACTTCTTGCAGAATCTTTCATTTTGATTTGTTTTCTAATTGCAGACAAAATACACCCTGATAGATGAGCAAGACATTCCTCTCGTAGAGAGCTACTCTTTTGAGGTAAGTTCTAACACCCTCTGTGTTAATTCTCCAGTTTTTTTTTCTTAGTCAATCTGACAAGCTGGATGACCTTCTCTCTCCTCCCCCAGCCTCATATCTGAAGCACTTGAGATCTCCAATTTCAGTTCCAATATTGCAAGCTTTTGTGCACAGGCCATTGTTGATGTTCAGTGGTTTGACATTATGATGAGAACCGGAGGGATTCTGTGCCCACCTGTGCTTTTAAAGAAAATGTTGATTGTATTGTGAGGTGGCCTTGAGTTGCAGCCACTGACCTTCCATGGTGCTTTCAAAGAACAATCAACACTGATTGGGGTCTTTAGGCTCTTTTTTTTTTTAAAGGCTTCCATTAAAAGCTGTTTTTAATTTCAATTAAGAATCATACTCCCTGACTTTTGCAGCAGATTTTACTAAAAGGGAGCGCGGTGGCTCAGGGGCTAAGATGCTGAGCTTGTCAATCAGAAAGGTGGGCAGTTTGGCGGTTCAAATCCCTAGCACCGCATCACGGAGTGAGCTCCCATTCCTTGTCCCAGCTTCTGCCAACCTAGCAGTTTGAAAGCACGTAAAAAAGAAATGCAAGCAAAAAAATAGGGGCCATCTTTGGTGGGAAGTATTAGTATTAACATGTTAGCATTGTTGGTGTTCTTGGAAAGTTGATGGACATTCAGATGGTTCAGAGGGGGGGGGAAAAACTACAGAATGGATTCTTTTCTCTGTGCAGGCTCGGATGGAAGTCGACGCTGATGGAAATGGTGCTAGAATCTTTGCTTTTGCGTTTGACAAGAACCGAGGGAGGGGATTCGGACGTCTGCTGCATGAGTTGCTGTGGTAAGTGTGGTCATGCAAAGGAGAGACCGCGACAGGTTTCCAAAGAGAAGTGTGTGCAAGACGTCATTGGAGCTTGTTGCAAAGAGAGCTAGATGCTTAATGAAGCTCATGCGGGTTATGCATTCAGAGGGGTAGAATCGAGATCATGCGAAGTATTAATACCGCTCTGTGAAGCCTTGGTGGTGCTCAACCGACCACCCTCCTCCCCGCAACTGTAAGCTTCTGTTACTTCTTTGCAGGGAGAGACATCGGGGAGGCATTGCCCCAGGTTTCCAGGTGGTGCATTTGAACGCAGTGACAGTGGATAACCGTTTGGACAACTTGCGATTGGTGCCGTGGGGCTGGAGACCCAAAGCCGAAGAAATCTCTAGCAAGCAAAGGTAAAATTCTCCTTAAGGAAATGCAGAGAGAGGGAGAAAAAAAACAGAATTTGAAGTTTAAGAGTGCCTGGGATTCCCTTCCCTTCCTCTTTCCTTTCATCTTCCCTTTTCCCTTCCGTTTCCTCTTTGCTGTTTTAAGTCTGGGAAAAAGTAAACCTCTCTTGAAGAAAATTCCTCTCTGTAACTCCTGTAAATGTTTCTGTTTTAAAAGTGCAGCGGGGGGAAATGCAATTATAGACACAATGTAAAAAAGTAAAAAGGAGCTCTTTGAAGTGAGCAACCTCAAGAAATGGACACAATGAGGACTTGGGCTAATTTATTGTTGTAGGATGTAATAACAGAGTCTTGAAAGCCTGCCACGGTATCTCTTTGGGTTGACTTATACCAAAACTGAATCAAGAAAATGAAACCCTCTGGTGCATTATCCCACTAAGTTGCTTCTCTTCCATTGGTGGCTCTTTCAATCCTTCGTCAAGGTTATTTCCACGTTATACAAGGGTAGAAAACCAGTTTTGGGGCTCTTTGCCTTGGCACAACGTGGAATCAAAACCTTTTTGACTTTCTTCAGAGCAGTGGGCTTCATCAAGAGTGCCCCGAGATAAAAAAAAAATCTTTGGGAATTCAAGCCTGTTTTTAATTGTTGATTGCTTTGCATATTTTATGGGTAAAAAAACTGGTATCAATTGAAATAAACTCCATGGATGGAGTGACAAAATAGACGGGGATTAAATCTGAAGCATTCACAATCGTAGAGCCGTGTTCTTCAATAATAGTTCAAAATAACAAGAGGAGTGTGCATGGTCATACGGATAGGCTTAAGTTGTCTTGCGGTTTTGAATCAAATATTTTGCTTCTTAGAAAATAACATAACTCAGGATTGAAATGGTGGATCTTTGGTGTTCTCTGAGCTTGCTTGGGACCCTACATTTTGCTCCTTACTTAAAAGCAAAACACTGATGGGAAGATAAACATTATCATTACAAATATAATAATCAGAAAACCTGATCGTTTCCTCCATTACTTTTCAATTGGAGTCCATTTAAAAAAGAAAACCGCAACAGATTTTCCTGGTTACAGGGATATAAATGAATCATGAAAAGGGTGCAAGCCTATCATAGAAATAAAGATTAGTAGAACTCCATTTGGGGCAGTGAAATAAGGTTGCTGAATGAATCTTTTAGAAGTGTTGGCTGCCCCAGTGTCTAAATCCTCAGCCTGTTTTTGGACTGTGTGAAAGGCTGAGTTTTGTTACCTCATCCTGCAGAAGAAATGCCTAACTAATTTTCCTGTTGCTGCTGTTGTTGTTGAAGGGAACAAAGCTTATACTGGCTGGCGATACAACAGCTTCCCACCGATCCCATCGAGGAGCAGTTCCCTGTGTTGAATGTCACACGCTACTACAACGCTAACGGAGACGTGGTGGAAGAAGAGGAAAGCTCGTGCACATACTACGAATGTCACTACCCCCCCTGCACAATGATTGAGAAACAGGTACATGCCAAGCCACATACAGGGTCTCCTGGTGATTGGACCGAAATCACCCAGGTAGTTTTAATGCCCGAGCTGGGACTAGAATTCACCGGGAGGGGGAGCAGTGCAGCAGCTTGGAAATCGAAAGCACATTCCATAAATAGTTTTTCCAAGATAGTAACTAGGTGACTGAAGTTTCTGCCATGCAAAATTCTAACTGGGGAGCATGATTGATGACTCTGGGCTATGGAGGTGTCCCATTGGAGAATATGAATTATGATACACCCAGGGGATGTGGGGGGGGGGGGCGGAAACCAGGGTCAAGGGTGACAGTGAATGATGTGTCTCGGACTCAGCTACACCCAGGCAGTGCCGGACATGTTAACTCCCAATAAATCCTCTTTGAAGTTTGGCTCAAGACTCCTGATTTAATTGGGGGCGACTGCCGGAATCCTGACACTCCCGCTTCTTGGAGCACGGCTGCATTGGGGTTTGGGTCTCTCTGTAGGATCCCGGAAGCGTCGGCTGATTTTTTTCTTTCCTTTCCTATTTCTCTCCCTTGCCCCTCCCTCCAGTTACGCGAGTTTAACATCTGTGGCCGATGCCAGGTGGCGCGGTACTGCGGCTCGCAGTGCCAGCAGAAAGACTGGCCCGCTCACAAGAAGCACTGCCGGGAGAAGAAGCGACCCGTCCAGCAAGAACTGGGACCAGAGCGGTGACCGGAAAACCTTCGCCGTCAAAGGGCTCCTTTCCCCTCCCCCCACCCCCCCAACCCCCTCGAGAGGGCGACGGCGGGAAGGCAGCACCCCTCTTTGCACAGACTGCTCACTTGAAGCCAGAGGCACTGACAACAAGGAGGAAAAGGAAGGAAGGAAAGAAAAAGAAGAAGAAGAAGAAGATAAAAAGACGAGACGAGACAAAAAAAGAACCCCTGTGATGCTTGAGGAGAGGGAAACTGGCCTTTTCCCCCTCTTAGTGTTAAAAGAAAACCTCAAGCGGGGAGAACAAAAAACGAAGAGAGAGAGAGAGACTACTATGAAAGCTCTCCTACTTGGAAAGCTTCTTGTTATTTATATGTTAATATGTTTGTAAAGTTGTGTACAGCTTTCTGTTTCGTTTCCAGGGGATGCGGGGGGGGGGGGGGGGGGGGGGGTGGGGGGGGGGGGGGGTGTTTTGGGTGGTTTTTTTTTTTTTCCCCCCGGGGGGGGGGGGGGGTGGGAGGAGGGGGTTAGCAGTGCTCTTTATCTAGGACTCATTTAACTGTAACGTTGGGGGTGAGAACACGTTGTTGGTCGAACAAAATAACTGTCTCGTAGCGAAAAAGCCTTTTTTTTTTTTTTTTGCTCCCTGGGATTTTAAAAGAAAAAGAAAAAGGCCCCGGGGAATCTAGCACAGACATCAGCAGTTATAACCTGAACAACTCTGCATGGAAGTTGTGTTTTCAAGTAAAAGGATTGGAATGGATCGCCGACTTTTCTTTTCTTTAAAAAAAAAAAAATACTTTTAAGGACTTGCTTTCTCCTTAACGTGGCCTGTTCCTTGTTACCTCCTTTAAAAAAGAAAAAAAAAACCATATTTCTCCACAATATTGAATATTGACCTGATTTGGGGTTTGTCAGCTTCTGCTAATGTTAGAGGACTTCACAACCACAAATTGACCCAATATAACCAAGGAGAGAAGCAACCTAGAACTCAGGAGGAATTCCCTGACAGAGAACAATTAATCAGTGGAACAACTGGCCACCAGAAGTTGTGAATGCTCCTCCAACACTGGAGGTTTTTAGGAAGAGATCGGACAATTATTTTGTCTCAAATGGTATAGGGTTTCCTGCCAGAGGAGAGGATTGGACTAGAAGACCTCCAAAGGTCTCTTCCAATTCTGTCATTCTGTTGCTAAGGGAGAGAGTTGTTAAGGGAGTTAAGCTCCGTTTTAAGACCTTTCTTGCCACGCTTGTTAAGTGAATCAGTGCCGTGGTTAAGTTAGTCACCCGGTTGTTAAGCGAACCTGGCTTCCCCGTGGATTCTGCTCATTAGAAGGTCGCAAAAAGGGGATCACGGCAACCGTCATAAATAGGAGTTGCCAAACGTCTGGATTTTGATCAGGTAGCCGTGGGTAGGCCACAACTGTTGTAAGGGTGGAAAAATGGTCATGTCAACTTTCCCCCCCCCCCAGTGCTGTTACGACTTTGGACGGTCGCTAAATGAACTCCTTTAAGTGGAGGGCTACCTGTTTGGAGCCCATCAAAACTAATATAATGAGTCCAAACTCCAAAGATAACTTAATATTGTTTTTATTCTGCAATCAAAAGGCTCCTGTCACTTTTCTGTCCAGGGGGGAAAAAAGGCTCTTTTTCCCACCATCCCATGGTAACCTCTTCCCGCCCTGCAAGACAAAGCAGCTTCTTCCAGGTGTGCAGGGGTTCAATATTTTCCCCTCCCAAAAAAGCTTGCATGAACCCCAAATTTTGCATGGAAACAGCTGGAGGATGCCAAAGCCTGGAGACAATGCGATCTCCCCTGTTTATTTTGCATTTCTCCCTAAAAAGAAAGACTTCCTTTAAAAAAAAAAAAAGGCAAAATGAGCCAGGAAGGGAAAAACTACAACTCCCGGCAAGCTCTGGGAGGCGGGGCGGGGGCCGCTGGGATTTGTAGTCCTCCGAAACCAGCTGGTGGGCGCAAGGTTGGTTAAGCCAGCCGGCTCGCCTCCACCTGGGGGGGGGACCGGGGGGGGAAAACCCTCCAGGGGGGCGGGGCTACGCCCTCCCAGGCCGGGGGGGGGCGGGGCCAGGCCGCACACCTGGCGGGACACCTGCTTTGGGCGGGGGAGAGGGGGGCAGGGGAAGCGCAGCGGGACTGCCGGGCGGGAAAGGCGGAGAGAGAGGAAGAGGCGCGCCTGGCCTCGCCTCTCCTTTCCCTGCCCGCCCCCCCCCC